CGCCCAAGACTGCCCGGCTGTTCCTCGAAATATGCCGAGTACAACTTGTAGCGCCATGGGCTGCTCAAACAACCCGCTGCGCAACCCGGAGGTGCTTTTTCACAAGTTCCCAACGGATCGGAAATCGGAGAAGGTGTGGGTGAACGCTGTTCGACGAGTGGACTTTGGAAAGCCTTGGACACCGACCCCCAGATCGAAGCTCTGTTCCGATCATTTTTCGCCGGAGAGTTACGAACGAAACCTACGGGTGTTGGTTGCTGGTGGCTTATAATGAAAAGGAAAGCAAAATGTTCTGCTTTGTGCCATTGCTTGTTTACTACGCTATCTCGTGAGTAATACAAAGGTCCGTAACGACCACTAGCAAACAGCCGGCGCGTGAAGCTTATGCGGTATAAACATTCGCCTCCCAATCGTTCGAACCCGTTACGCAGCAGTATTAATTAACACTGGGCTTGTGGATACCACAAAGGACTTTCAAAAAATCGCGAAAGTTCGGATTTGTAAGTTACAACTCTAATTTACCCGAGTTCGGCTGGAGGTAAATATAATATTTAAAAATGCAAAAAAAAAACGAAAAAAAAAAAAAACACTTGCCTTAGTCAAAAAGTTACGAAGTAAAACTTTTAAGATCCTACTTATTCCAATAAAAAAAATTGTCATTGTGGTGGGGGGGGGGGGGGGGGGGGGGGAATGTGGAAGGGAAAGAAAGTGTTCTCACCTTGCTAACGTTCTCTGTTTTCCTCTATCACCCACAAAAACTTTCGCTAGCTTTGAGAAGAAAATGACTGCCCAAAGAACTTCCTTTTCTTTTTTTAGTGCGGCAAGTTATTTTATTTTTACAAAGTAGATTCACTATCTAGCAGTGGCGTCACGAGGGTCAGCGGCACCCGGGGCGGTAGCCCGCCGCGACTCACCCCTCCCCCCCCTCCCCTCCCCCCCCCCCCCCCCTCCCCCCCACCTTGTGACGCCACTGTTACCTAGACGAACTTGCGTGGTGAATAGGGATGCCGCGAACTTTTTTCGAATCGAAGTTTCGATGCTCGAATCAAGCAATTCGAAAGGTTCGAAAGATTTCGATTTTTCGAATTTTCTATATCGTAAAATTCGACGGAGGTCGAATTTTCGAACTTGTTAAGCTAAGAAGTTCGACGCTTTTCGAACCGTCGAACTTATTACGCTAAAAAATTCGATCTTTTTCGAACTTATTGCGCTGCAAGGTTCGATGCTTTTCGAACTTTCGAACTTGACTGACCAAAAAATTCGATGAATTTCGAACTTTCGAACTTATCTATCAAGAGAATTCGAAAAGTTTCGAACTTTCGAATTCTGAAAAGTCAGAAGTTCGACGAACTTCGAACTTTTAGGGTAAAAGTTCGACGTTCATCGAACTTCGAAAGACCGGCGGACGGTTTCAGTAGTGGTGTACATTCGTAATTTTTTTTTCTCGAACTTTTACACGCGGTGCTGCGTTCCTTACGAAAGACAATGTCGTTTATTTCAGTGTTCTGGCATGCTTAGGTTTAAAGAAATAAATCCCCGAAGGGGCGAGGAAGGACGACGGGTTTTTGACGATTATCGTTTGTGCTAGATTTGAAGCACGCTGCAGCCGGAGCTATTTATGGTAGATATGTTATACTTTTTTAAGAATGATCTATGTATAGCCTAGGTAAGTGCCGTCTTAAGATGGATTATTGTTATTCAACGTGAGTTTCGAAGAAATGTCCAAATTTAACATGTATCTGCATGCAATTATGACCTAAACTTGATATTTATTTTCGTCTAAGTTGTTTGAGGTACCGCATTTAAATTAACACCACAGACAGTACATATCATTGCCATCTGCAGAATACAAAATAATATATTCATTGTTTTTTCACGTTAAGGAATAAATTAACTCATGGGAGAAGATTTCTAATAGTGTTCAAGTTCAGCACGTCATTAAAAGAAAACTTTTTTTTTTTTTCGCTTCACGTTCCTGGGTCGTGTTTCTTTTAGCCTGTACACATTTTGGTAAAAGAAACTTGTTTCGAAGTTCTGAACCTCTGAATATGCAAGAATAGAACACTTCCGACGAATTCTTGATAGTTTTTTTTTTTTTTTTTTTCTGCTTTTTATTTCCGCATTTATTTATTTATTTATTTATTTTTTTTGAAACTATCGGCACAGGTGTTTAGGTCGAAAAGACAGCTTTGAACTTCCGAACCACTAAGCATGTGACGAGCAGTGCCTTCTGACAACGAGTTTCTAACAATGACCATCTACGCAACCTTTTATGCAGTGAAGAGCGACAGTAGCTATACATATGCATAAATAATTTCAGATTAAAATAAGCTCGACCACGCCCTCTTTCCCCGTATTGTTTTCTTTAACAGTCCGAAATACCTGCAAGGGAGAGAAGGAGGCTGAAGCCCCCCCCCCCCCTTCGCTACCCTCTTTCCCCCCGTTTTTCCTCTTCCGACGCCACTTGTATGGTAGAACGCTCCTCGACCTCGAGTTGTGTCGGCTTTTGTGCTTTTTGCGAGGCGATTCCTCCGTCCCAGAAAATAAACATCCAGGACAATTATAAACTTCACCGGATCGGATTACTACCAGCGTGCAAGGGGTGGCGAGCTAGTTTGCCAGGTCGCATCAAAGTTTTTCTGAGACTCAACCTCCTGCTTGCCCCTGGCCGTTTCGAACTGGATGAGTCTCGTAAAGCAGTGTGTTCGTGCAATCACTACTGCGTGATGCAGGTTGAAGACCCCCCGACCCCCCGACCCCCCGACCCCCCCCCCCCCCCCCCCCCCCAGGGCTGGCTGTCACAATTCTGCACTGGCAAATATTCTAGCACGTCCGGGACACTCGTCGCCTCATTTAATTGCCTGACCAACTTCGCAGAATCTAGATATCACACCCTAACTTTTCTAAACTTGATTTTGTGAAAACCAGTGAGTCGTGAAAACGTTATTTGTAACTGAAACTGTGGAAAAACTTGAATTAAAAAAAAAATTCAAAATCTTCGAAGTTTTTTTTTTTTTTTATTTAACGTTAAAAGAGAATCGAAACCTTCGAACTTTTCGAACTTCATGCAAAAAGAAATTCGAAATCTTCGAATAGTTCGAACTTCATGTCTATAAAAATTCGAAGCGTTCGAAGTTTTCGAATTTTTTTTTACAAAGAATTTCGAAATCTTCGAATTTATCGAACCTGAAGTAAAAAAATATTCGAAATATTCGAATTCGAAATTTTAGAAACCGTGAAAGCTTCGAAATTTTCGAATTCGAAACACCGCTGTGGTCAAAAGTTGCGAATTTTTCTAAATCGAACCTTGGTCGGTACGAAAATATCGAAATTTTTCGAAATCGAACCTCAGTTCGCTTCGCAAATATCGAAACCTTTCGAAATCGAACCTAGGGTGGTTCGCGACATCCCTAGTGGTGAATTAGTGTCATAGCTTAAAAATTAGGCTTTTACGCGCCTGAGGAAAAAAGAACGAAAAAACAGACGTCTACAGCTTAGCACACGTCTGTTCAGGTGTCGCTGCCCGCGCCGGAGAGCGTCAAAGCTTTGTGTCTAGGACTGACCCGCAGCGCGAAAGCAAGAGGGCCCCCAGTACTGTACGTCACTGGCAGCGCGGCGTAGATCAACGCCGCTCCTTCCACGAACTCCCGATGACAATTTAGGCCTAGGGACGAATACGTGAGACCGCACGCACGCCGACAGCTGCCGAGTACGCACCGAACGAGTTTACTCGTTTTCCAGTCGCTAGCTTTTGGGTATACAAGCGACGAGTACGGCACGGCACAGCGCACGCACGGCGGCAGCCGCCGAGCACGGCACCGAACGAGTTGACGGGTGTTCCAGTCGCTAGCTTTTGGGTATACTCACTAACTCTTTTAACTCTTGCTACATGTGCTAGATAACTACCACGTATGCAGAATTAAAACAAAATCAGCTTACCTTCTATTTTTAGACGGCTAGCGCAACAGAGGTAGCCGTAGGTGCCGCTCGGCCTGCGTGCTCGTTGAACGAGAACGACCATGACGTCACGTCCACATAGCGGCTGATTTCCAATGTTGCCGGAACCTCGAGCGGCTAGTTTCGGTTTTGTCGGCCGCGCCCCAAACACAACTTTGAGACGTCGATATCTTTAAAACTACGCACAATAACGAGAAAAAAATTACACCTTTCAATTCAGGGACGCTGACTGCACTAGAAACAGTCATAATCCCAAAATCGAAAGTATGGACCGGAGTTGCCCTTTAACGTCTTATGGCCATGAGGATATTGTAAACAAAGAAATAAATAAAGATGGCACTACAGTAATGTCATCATCATCATCGTAGTGTGGATACAAGTATGGTCGCCCCATAGGCTCTCCATGTTCACACGCCAGACGGTGTAGGTTCTTGTGTTTACTTTGGCACATGGTATCGTTGAGAAAACAATTTTAGCCGAAAACGGTGCCATACTGTTTGGTGCTTCAGTGAAGATTGATTCGTGTTACGAGCATGCACCCGAAATTCAAATAGTCACTCGTGCGGATATGTCACCTGCTCTAGACACGTAGCGCGAAGCAAGGATCTCCACGATGGATGCCCGTTTCCGGGTCAACTGCACTATTTAAGTTACACTAATTTCTTTTCCAAAAAGTTGTATTGTTTCATTAGCATGGAAATGCAACAAAACGTGGAATCGCCATCTGTCTAGAAATCGTAACTTCTTCAAAGAAAAAGCACAGCGGAGTATGTACGTTTCCAAACGTACCGGCACTAGCTCATCCAGTTACTTCAAGGCACCATCTAACAAACTGCCTTAGTTGTTGCGTTCCATTAAAGTAATATGTACCCTTCACAAAAATAATCTACACACTATTCAATTCATATTTATGTTTGTTTCGGTGCCACCCCTAGCATTTGATTAGTATTTGATTCGGTCCCAACGACCGTCATCCGCACACCCCTCGGAAAAACACGGCGGTCTTTCTGGCCCCTTCCCGTCTGAGTGGGTGTGGCACTCACCTTCAGGTCCCTGTGAACCACCCGGTTGCTGTGGCAGTACTCGACGGCCGACAGCACCTGCCAGAACTTGCGCCTGGCCATGGCCTCCGGCATGCGGCCGTGCCGCGAGATGAAGTCTGAAAGACACGGCTGCTCTTCACAGCTGCTCGGGAAAGCAGCGCTGACCAGAGCAGCCACTCGGTTACATGGGGCCCTCAAACTCGGGCGGTCCTGATCGAGCCGGTGTGCATCCCGGTTGCCGACTAGACGAGAACGGCAGGGCACCTCCTTGAGATGACCGGCCCTTAGCTCGTGCTCGGTGCCTTTTGCAGTGCTTTGGCCGCACGGGCACACTCGATTAAACTCACGAGATGCCGAGATGTCGTCAAAGGTTAAAAAAGCATTGCGCCGGAGGCGGCACAGCTGGAAGCCCTGCCGTTCTCGCCCTGTCAGTGACTATGCTCTCAGCTTAAGAGCACCAAAGTGTCACAAATCTATTCCAGCTGTTTTTAAAATATTTTGGCCAAAGAATAGAGAGAAGAAATTTAACTCCTACATGCACAAAACCAAACTTTTTTTAATAATTTGTTGCGTTGCAGAGGGCACCCGGGAGATTGACTTTAATCTACGGGTAAGCGTAACTCTTTGCAAGTGCTCACTGTTTGTTCATACTAAGTTTTTTGTTTTTTTTCTCGTGCTGTAGTATTTTTTTTATATTCAGAAATATGCAGCTTCATCTTTTATAAAAACAGAAAAGAGGTGGAAGAAACTGCGTGAAATTGCTTTGTTTCATTGTTGATGACGAGCTTGGAAAAAATAGATAATTAAATTACATTTCTTTATCCCGGGTTTACTATCATTTGCTTCACTTATGTGCGATCGAAGCTGAAGCTACAAGCCCGAGCATATTGCCCTGAATAATGTTTGCACTGCACGAGCGGGGATGCTGAAAGCCAGTTTCTCCATTAGATATAGAAATTCAGTTTCTCCATTAGATTTGGCGGGAAAATTGACGTCACATGATCTCAACACCAATTCAATTCCCTGCTAAATTTAGTTGGGAATTGAATTTGTGTTGAGGTCACGTGACGTCAATTTTCCCGCTAAATCTAGCGGAGAAACTGAATTTGTTCATAAGTGATGTGACACCAAGCTCGTGTGACGTCATTCTCCCCGGTAAATTTAGCGGGGAAACTGAATTGGAGGATGAAAGGAGGAGAGGGTACGGAAGAGGAGGAGGAGGGGCATATCCTCCCTTCCACACCCTCCCATCTTCCTCCTCAAGAGCTGCGCTCTAATCTCGCATTACAGAGATTTGTAAACGTCTAATTTTTTTTATTTTTGTTTATCACACAGGCCACAGCAAGTGCAGTCTGTGTGATATTGTTTTTTTATTCACTCCTGTAACATTCTCAAACACAGGCCACAGCAAGTGCAGCCTGTCTGATAATATTTTTTTATTCACTCCTGTAACAATCTCGAAAGAGATTCACAGTATCAATAAAAATAATAAAAAAATAAGCCATGTCTTGTTCACAGCCGTCAGACACAGCCATCAAAAGGACCGCAGCATGAATGGGCCAAAAACAATGGCTGACTCACCAAACACTTCTCCCTGACTTGCATACTCCGAAACCAGGTAAAGCATGTTTTTCGTCTCCATCACCTGGACGTAAAAGGAAGGTGAATTTCAAAACTTTCAATTTTGGTATGTAAATAAAAACACTTAAAGGGCAACTCCGCTTCATTTTTGATATTTAGAAAACTATGTAGCCCTCTTCAGTATCATATAGGAAGACCCCATGTCAAATATTACGATCTAATTCCGTCTATATATTTAATAAACTGGCCAGCGAACCTTCAAGCGAGCCAAGTCGCCGAAATCTGCCAACTCTAGCGTGCGGCGCGAGGCGCAATCATCAGCGCAGTCAATGCCACGGAGTTGGAGCGGCCAACGTTGAACCACTACGTCAGAGGCATGCATACTTCATTCTCACGTTTTGCTTGTTTTTACTTTTCAGAGCGAAATTTAACGATGACGTCATGAGTTTCTCCTCCCGGTGTTGGCTGACTGGGCGTTCACGTGATCACCGCTGCCCTGCGCGCTTATCGGTCTGTTTCTCCGCTCCCCTTCTCCTCTTTCGTCTTCTCCCCTTCCCCCTCTCCCCCGGGCCATCACCGTCCACGCCATCCGAAGCGACCTGCCCGCGTCCAAAAAAAAAAAAAAAAAAAGGACCTGCCCGCGTTGCGTGTCCTGTTTCTCGCTCCCTCCCGAACGTCACAAGACCACGTGGTTCGACGTGAGGTGCTCATGACTGTGACGACCCGAGACCAATGTTGCCTGACGCAACCGAAGTTTCGGTTTCGGTATCTGCTGATGTTTAAATTAGGATTACACAAATATTATTCCACATTTCGCGAATCCGAAGACGTAGAGTTGTTGAGTATTACTTTGCGAATGTGAATCACATGGAAGCCTAAATTTTTCGGAATTGAGCGGAGTTGCCCTTTAAAGAGCTGAAACTGGCATTCCTTCTTATTTTTTTTCAAAAACTTTAATTTGGAGTTTGATGAGCACCAAATAAAAACAAGAGTGGATGCAACAAGCATGGACACATATTATATTTATCAGACTGCAACCCAAGATTCACATGGAATATTGTCCTTTTCAATGTTTGAAAAATCACCCAGTTTTAGAAGAGTAAATAGTATAAGTAGCAAGTGTGCTGCCTTAAATAAAAACAGAAAGAATAAACATAGGGATGGACAGAACAGCACCCGTAAGAGGTGCTGTTCTGTCCGTCCCTATGTTTATTTTTTCTGTTTCTATTTAACATCATTAACGCGCTCACGTAGAACTAAACTGCCTTGGCTTGCCACCAGAGATGTAAGCCCATGTGCGTAGCTTGCATACTGTCCTTCGTCGATGAGAGTTGCATGTCTTTTTTTTATTTTTTTATTTAGATATGCTTCTGGCTCTCGGCTGAGAGCTGAGGCAGGTGTGGGTGATACACAAGACATAGGAGACACAAAAAATACTTTGGGGTATAAAATTACAGAGATGTCATAGGATGGAAATACAAAAGTCGAATATCATAAAGATTTTTCCCAGAACCGACAAAGAGACAGACTTGTGAACACATCAAAGAAACTTGAGGCATCATATGGCAGAATGGTTTGCGAGTCAACATCTGTGTGACCCTGAGACGTCATGTGGCAAGAAGTCAACACCTGTTTGTCATGTGTATTCCTATGCTCTGTCCTTGTTTCTTTTTGTGTTATTTTTCCCAATGCTCTAAAATGAAAGGTGTGCTAAAAGTACACCACCCCCCAAAAAAAAACACTGCTTGCTGACGATGCTTAGTGCCATCTGGATGTATGCACACTTCAATTAGGCTGGGAAATTTGCTATAGTGATTGGGAACATGAGCATTGAAAATACAAACACAACATATTATTTACCAGCCTCAGGCTATGGTTGTGATTCAGATCTATAACATCACAGGAAAATTGAACAAGATACTCCATCTGGGCCATCAGCACCGCCCCGCTGCCCCACTGCATCAAGTGCTATGAAGAGCTTTTAGTACCGGTTGATAGCGAGAAAGAATGTGCCGGAAGTGGGGGCTCAGAAAACAAGCAGATTAAAGATTTCTGGTCTTATTTTCCCCTACTTTTAGAGTGCAGCTTTTAGGCTCCCGTTACCGGCTTCAGCGGCGTCGGCGTAATTGTGAGCCACGTGACCCCTGAGGTCAGGTGATCCCCCCCCCCCGAGGTCACGTGATCCCCCCCCTGAGGTCACGTGACCTCTGTGACGTCACGTGACCTCAGGGGGGGGGGGGGGGGTCACGTGACCTCACGGGGGCCACGTGACCCCCCCTGAGGCCATGTGGCCCCCGTGGCGGAGTAGCAGGCAGGCTGACGAGGTGAGTAGGAGGGAGGAGGGGTATACCCTCCCCTCAGTACCCTTCCATCCTCCTCCTCAAGAGCTGTGCTCTAATTCGGCGTTACAGAGAGTTGTAAACAGCCTTCCTTTTTTTTTTTAGAGCGCAGCTTTTAGGCGCCCGTTTCCGGCTTGAGCGGCGTCACCGTCGGCGTGATTGAGCGGTGCATTATGGGACGCGTGACGTCACTGGTGACGTCACCGATTACGTCATCAGTGACGATGACGATTCTGATGTCATCAGTGACGTCACTGATGACGTCATCACGAGGACGTCCCACATGACGTCACTGATGACGATGACGTCATCGTCACGTGGCCCCCATGAGGCCACGTGGCCCTCGTAAGGCGATGGCGACGCCGCTCGGAAAGAGGAGTAGTAAACAGATGAGGAGGTGAGGAGGAGGGAGGAGGGTTATACCTTCCCGTCAGTGCCCGTCCCTCCTCCTCCTCAAGAGCTGCACTCTAATTTGGCGTTATAAGGAGTTGTAAAGAGCTTTCATTTTTTTAATTTCATTTTCACAACCACTATTAGTTTTAAAATAGATATCCTTTGTTTCAGCATGCTGTAGTTTAGTGTTGATAAAATGAGGTAGTCCATATATTCTGGTCAGAGGCCTAGTTCTTGTTCCTCCTTCAGGACCAGATGGCCTGTTCACATATAAAAAATGGTCATAAAACACTTAATATTTCTGTAAATTTTGTAGAGCTCTGAACTAGTTGATTCTAGGAGACCACTGAGACCACTAGCATTACATTAGCAGAGTGATATTTAAACATTTCCTTAAACTTGCGAAAGACAATGTCTCAGATATTCCCACCTAGCTCGATTGGTGAAATATCAGTGCCACAAGGGCTATGGCGTGTGATGCACACACACCTGGGAATATGATCTAAATAGGGTTAAAGGGACACTGACCGGGTATTTATGTTCGCCAAGGTTTTATCTGTACATGACATATGAGAGCCCAACTGCCCAGAACAGAATTTGCGGCTCGAAATTTGTTTACTTTCCGCCCGAAAACCGCCGATCTAGAACTGGCCGCTTTGAGTTGCGCTCACTCGCTTCTTCATGGTCACGTGCTGTTTTCTATGGTTTAGACACAGCCACCAAAGGTAATCAAAGTCATGGGTCATTGAAGGTACACACTCAATACTAAAAATTTACTGAAAATATGAAACCCATCTTTTGGGGTTTCTAAAAATTGCAAGTATGTTGATAAAAAAAAGAGTTGCACAGCCACACAACTTTTGGTAACTTTCTCTTCCTCTATATTTCTTCTTCCTCCCCAGTCCAGTTTCGGTTTCGGTTTTGAGCAGTTTCGTTCTTTTACTTTATTAAAAATATATGTCGCACTGTAGCAAAATATTGATTGGGTAGTCTTCTGACACCATAATAAATTGCTTAATAAAAAATAAAAAATAAATTTTTTTTGGGGGGGTGTCAGTGTCCCTTTAAGGACACTGACACCCCTATGAGGTCCCCTCTTACATGCTGACCGGTGTTCGCGTTAATGCCCGCATGAGGGAAAACATTCTGCCAAATGATCAGTAGAAAGTGCCGCCACCGAGTGTACAGTCTGCAAGGGTAAATTTTGGCTTAAGAAATACTCTTTCCTCACATAGGCCACACCCAGTGCAGTTTGGACCTGGTTCCTACTTCACCTGGTGCATACTCGCCACACAAAAATTTTTCAAAGACCTTCAAGAATGGTTACTTTATCATTGCCCAAATCATACAGAAATCATCATTGACGTAACCTGTCATTTACAAATTTTCTCATGTCTTGTCGTAACAAGCAATCTTGAAAAAACAAATAATAGTATAGTCCGCCTTGTCTAAACTTTCAACACTAAAAAATGCACAGTCCGTGAACTAAAACCCGAAAAATACAGCAATACTAGTCCTGGTGCAGGGAGGCCACTGACCTGGTATAACTTGACGATGTGTGGGTGGCTGAGCATCTTCATGATGTGAACCTCCCGATACACTTTGTCCAAATTGGCCGGATCCAGCTGCGTCTTGTCGATGATCTTGATCGCCACCTAGAAGGCCAGTCAGAAGCAAAAGTTCAATGGAACTCTTAGTCCAAAACTGTGGCACAAGGATTAGGGTCACCTCTATCACTCAAACCAAGTGCCGACTTTCGTTATGCTACCATGAGATAGTTTGCAACATAATTTAATTCATGAGTGGCTGTCTTTGGTGACACATAAGTTTATGGTTTAGCAAAGTCCTTCAACACTAAATCCCTCTTATATAAAGTGCTCACGACCCCCTTCTGATTTACTCCCCCCTTTGTTAATTGTTTACATTGCTGAGCGATGTAAACAGGTAGCAAGACCTTGTCAGGCAGAGCAAAGAAATCTGCCTTTTGTCATGCTATCCTAGGCCTTGTGTCTTAATAAAACCAATCAAACAAAACAAGCGATGCTCAGTTCAGGAAAAGAAGAGGAATGGAACAATGCAGGGTGCTAAACAAGCCTCCTCTGCTCTTCCAAAAACTTGCAAGCATGTGCAATTGTGACTAGCATCGAGACAACACCAAATGTTTACTCATGCACACAGCCACACAAAGTTCTTAATTTATTGCAATTTTTAATTTAAAAAATAATGCACGATAAAGTGCAAACTACTTAAGTTTTAAAGATAAAAATTACATTAAAATTTGACAATTTTTTGGCGTGTGCTGTTTGTATTTTAAAGTTCGGATGTAGACTGCAGATAGATTTTCAATGGCAAGCATAAACATGTTATTTCATCAGCCTTTCTGGGGCAATGAACGTCAAACCTTTGAGGGCCAATTAAAAATGTCCGTGTGCACTCTTCAAAGCAATATGTAGTTGATGATAAGCAAATTAATGATGCGGCAGTGTTTCTAAGAATAACAAAATAATTATGGCCACTACAATTATTGTAATTATGCCAATTACGAAGAAAAGTAAAGACACATGAAGCAGATATGTTACAATACACAATAACATTCTAAAGAATGCCTCAGTGCCATTAGGCCTTGCAAAATCCAATCTCACAGTCAGTTCTTATCCTTGAAGCACTGAGATAATGCATTTGATGTTTAGAATCACTTTCACCATGGTTACCAAACAATGGTATCTCTTTTTGACAAGATGTGTGTAAACACCCTTGGGATGTAATAAAAGTACTGAGACAGAGCCATAAATGCTCGGAAAAACAAACCCAGGATAGTCGAAAACTAAGAAAAAAATTAAGTAGTATAACATTAAGAAATATCCAGTCGAATACATATTTATGAAAAAGTAGATTTTTTTACAATCCTCCTTTTGCAGCACTATACCTTTTGTCTTCACGTGTTCCTAGAAATACACAGACTATCTCAAATGTGAGAAAGCTATGGACTATATCTAGTTATAGGGAAAATATTTTGACATGCTTCTGGTCCCTACATGTTTATGCTGTTGCTGTCCATAGATATTTTGACTTCATGCAAACTTAGTTTACGTTTCATCCGAGAAGAAACTTCTATGCACATGGGTGGGCCACTGAATTCTAACTACTAAGTGAACTGTCACCAGTCCTATCTGATTCATTTTAGCAATTATGACTCTTTTTCAAACCATCTGGATACGAAACTATTTGAAATTAATTTATTTAAAGTGTAAAGGAACTGAGCCTGTTACCCCTCAAACAAAGCCATGCAGTGGAGAGGGTCTCACCACTCATAACTAAATGAAAAAATTTGAAAGGGCCACACTTGTTCTGCAGATACAGAAAATCAAGATGACTCACAAGTGCTCTGTAATTCTCTCTAGCAATGTAAAAAAAAAAAAATGTGCACGTCTTTTTAGATACAATTTTGAAAGTATTAAGAATGTAAAAGTGTAAAACAAAAATCTCAGTACAAAAAGACTATTACACAAAAAATCACCCGTTTTTAGAGCTGTGCATTGTGATACTTTTGGTAGCAGCTACAACAGGGTTCATGCTGGCCTCAAAGACAAAAATTCAAGGGTTTTCAAGGACTTTCAAGGCCCAGCCAGGATATTTTCAAGGACCATGTTGAGAGCCTTACTTAGACAAAACACAATCCTAAATGCGTTAAAAATGTAATACCTATTGCACGAGACAAGATATTAAGGGGCTTTCCTTTTTGTATGCTAGATTCAAAGAAGCACATTAACAACACACGTTGCCGTGTCCCACATGTTAAACAAAAAATATACACCAAACAAGCACTCGTCCAATGTTCATGGTAGTTCACATTGCTCTTTCTGGACTTCGAGGTCAATATCCTGAATTTCCTGTGCCTTGTTTTTGGCAGTCTTCCTGAGGCTGTTGTATTTCATGAACCATGTGAAGTCACTCGTGGCTTCTGCCTTCTCTGCATAATTATCTGCTGAAGCCGTCAATTCAGCAACAGCTACCTTCCAGTTTCTTCTTCTTTCTCAATATTTCAACTTCTTCGTCAATGCAGTGCCTTTTCACTTGCCTTACATCTTCAAGCTCCCGCTTCTTCGCTTCCAAGAAAGCATGGTCATGGTGCCTTGAAGAAGCCACGGACGTCCTGAGTTCCTTCGTGATTTGTACATTCAAGATGACACCTCCCTTGTTTACAGCGTCAGGTACGATTTGCTGCGAGATGTAGGAAATATCTCATATTTTCGACAGCGACCAGCCAATTGACACTGAATCTTCTCTCAACACTCGCTTGTCCGTGACTGAGGTCAAGCAGAAGCTTAACGACTTCCCACAGTTCATTGTGCGACGAATTGATTTTCAGGAGGTCATAAAAAAACCTGACCAAAAGGTGTCCAAAGTTCTTTTAAACTGTTGCAAGTCGTGCCTTCGTTCTTGCAATATCTCAACGTATTCCGCGAGCACAGTGTCTCTTTGATGATCACTGATCCCTTTTGCTGCAGTGAGAGAGTTCAAAACTTTTTTGATGCATTCCAGACACTCGTCTGGCTTTGAGCATATTTGCCTGGGGTCCAGTGAAGTAAGGCCTCTTACTATGGGCAATCGCAGTGGGCTCTTCTCAATTATCTTCTTTGTTACAGCGACAAGGAATTGCTTACACTGCATCCTAAATGTAAATGTATCGTTTGCACTTACTTTGGAGCTTTTCCGAATCTGTTGGGCCGCATGGCCGATGTCCACTTTCTCAAGTGGGGTGTGATTGTTTGGATCGCCCATGTCAATCTTGAGCATGCTGGTGATGCCCATTGCTGAGCAGAGAACCGAGCATTTCACAAATTTTGTCACCAGCTTTCTCACCACACTTTTAAGGTCTTTTGCCAGGAAGAATACCAGTGGCTTGTTGGCTTGGTATTCCACGAGAAAAGGCCGAAGCACCATGGTAACCCCGAGAGCAAAGTTGAGCTTAGCCAACACTAACGGATCATCGCAGAAGTCAGACAGGCATTGAAAGGAAGCACATTTTGGAAGATTCACTTCTTTCTTTCCTGCGGATTCCAGATACTTCTTTAGATCAGGCCAAAGAGGTAAACCGCATTCAACAACTGGAACATTCTCGACCCATCGATGCGCAACAAACTTGCATGAAAACAGTGTCTACTCGGTTACAGTTATAAATCCTCCCTTCGTGCTGGGGCGTCCTGAAACAATGTGTTTAGGCTTGAGAGCAGGCCATTTAGTCTTCACTTGCCGGCCGTGGCACCTGCTTTGTAAGCATTGCGTACTGTGTGAAAGCCACAGGTGCCCAGATCTAAACACTGAACCCAATAATTCAGCTGCAGGTGTTCTTGCAGACCTCTGAAAGACTTCAAGTTGACATTCGGTCCATCCTTTGACAGTTGGACAATCTTCTCCAATGGCAGAGGCTCCAGGGCGCTTAGCAGTTTCTTTTTAATGTCTTGTGCCTTTGAATGGCCCATAAACATGGACGTGTAATACCGCGTGGCCACCTTGTGTGACTCATCCCAGTACCTTATGTCAACATCCATCTGCTTCTGGTGCAAGTAGTCGTTCAGGGACTCGTCGAAGAGGACAACATAATAGTTGCACAAATCTACCTCTCGTTGGAGAGAAGATAAGAAAAAAGGTCCGAGACCATGGCCTTGCGACGTACGAAAACTTCCGCTCGCAGGAGAAGGCTCGAGCGACTTCGCTGTCGGGAAACATTCTTCTGAACAAGTCACTTGTCTGTGAACAGGCCTTGTAGGAATAGTGAGATAAAGTTACTTTTAGTGTCCACAAAATCTCTGCATCAGTCACTAGCTCATGCTTCTTGCACACACTGTACAAGTCCGACGACTGCGATTGTGTTGGATCCACGGACGTTGGGTTCACGGACGATTCACTTACAGAGGGCACCAAGAAGTTCTTGATCGGGTTACTCACTGCCGCCTTCACACTCGCATCGCATTTGGCGCTTTTCATGCGACTTTTCAGCGCCAACTCTCCTATACACCAACTCATGTTTGGATGGATGGATGGATGAATACGGCTGAGCCCTTGGGATCGGGCGGTAGCTTACGCCACCTAGCCATTTTGTTTTACCATTTAAGCTGAGAATATTTAAATGTGAAATCTACTCCGCAGTGCAAAGAAAGTGAGGCTATGAAACCCCCTTGCCATCAGTGAATAAGAAAATACCTAGTTTTCTCTCGATTTCTGCCACCATTCACTTAATCTTTGCTTGGTAATCTGTACAGTCTTGAAATCCACTCTCCCTTCGCTGTCTCTAAAACCCAATGACTTTATTAAATCTAGGTTGTCTTCGGTAGGCATAGGGTGAAGCCCTTTACAGTAGAGTATCAAGTGCTCAGCCGTCTCGTCCTCCTCTCCACAAGCAGTGCACACTGTATCAATTTCCTGGTACTTCACTCTGTATGTTCTGGTTCGCAGAACACCCGTTCTTGCCTCAAACAGCAATGAGCTTCCCCTAGAATTGTCATAAATGCTTTCTTTGGCAATAACTCTTTTGTTTAATCTATAGCTTTCCAGAGCCGTCTTTGTCTGCATTCCCTCTAGCCACCGATCGCTTTCTGTGGCCTTAACTTTCTTCTTAAAGGAGCTGTGCAACGATATTCAATTGGAATGTTTT